AGAACAAACTAGGACAATGTGTATGAGTGTTTTGCTTGCATGTATGTAAGTGTACCACATGTGTGCAATGCCTGCAGAGGCCAGAAGAGGGTACTAGATCCCCTACAACTGGAGTTATGGATGGTTGTTAGTTGCCGTGTAGGTGCTGGGAACTGAACCTGAGTCCTCTGGAAAAGTAGCCAGTGCTCTTAACCACTGAGCCACCCCTTCAGTCCCAGGAGTCATCTTTCATTTGCAATGCTGAAAACTTTGTAAGACGGTCTTCAAAATCACAGACCTGACTTTGGATCCTAAGGGATCCAAAACTTTGACTTGCAGCAAACCCTTCACAAGTACAACAGGCGAAGTAAGGGTGATGGATTTTCACTGAGGAACAAATACTCAAAGCTATGAAAGCCATTCGGCAGGCTTGGATGGAAAATGCATAAATGGAAATGATCTCCTAGCTGATGTAACATATGCCCCATCTCTAGTTTACTCAACGACTAAGTTTACCCCAAACTTGTCACAGCAAAATTACTTTGGGTAATAACCGAAATGACCCCAAATATCAATACATGGCAGAATATAGAAAATCTTAGTATATAACATCCACTTAAAATTCACCTCTGAACCTCTGTCTGGAGCATAGATTAGGCTCTGAAATGGAAGCTAGGTACAGACGCTTTGTAGTCTCCCACAGTGTCAACCTGAACCTTAGTCCTTTTATGTCATAATAACAGCACAAGTCATCTAATCTTTGTGCTGATACGGCCTCCTTTGCTTTATTACGTTTATTCCATGTCAGCTTTGCTAGTGTTATAAAAATGTCACTGTGTCTGCAGCTGCGTCTTTCATCTCATAAACTGCCAGGGATCTCATCAAGTCACCGCTCTGTACAGCTTGCAGCAGACCAGTACAGGGCAGCTTAGGCTTAATCAAAGTTTTTCTTAAAAACAAACAGAATACACAGGAAAACATGACAACGTGTGAGCCTGTGATCCCCGGCAAAGACTTGACATATGAAAGTCTGTATTTCTTTTTTTTAATGTATGAAGTGCACCCATGTTGTACAATGGTCGTGGAGGTCAGAAGAGGGTGTCAGATCCTCTGGAACTGGAATAACAGATGGTTAGCTTCCATGTGGGTGCTGGGAATCGAACCCAGGTCTTCTACAAGGGCAGCCAGTGCTCTTAACCTCTGAGCCATCTCTCCAGCCCCGAAAGTCTTTATTTCAATTAGGTGCCTTATCACAAGATCCCCAAATATCTCAAACAATATCTCCAAATAGCAAGTGTGTTCTTGGCATTTGAAATAAAATTTAATCTGTGTATGGTCCACCTTAGGTTTTAAGCAACCTATTACTGATGGGGCAAAAAAATATGGATTCCTCTGTGTGTGTGTGTGTGTGTGTGTGTGTGTGTGTGTGTGTGTGCGCGCGTGTGTGTGTTGTGTGTGTGTTTCCTAATGCTGCTATTTCAAAACTTAGTGGCTTAAAATGACATAAATTATGTCATAATTGTAGGCATCAGCAGTTCAAAATGACAGGGATAAAATCAAGGTGTGTCAGCAGGTCTGTTTCCTTGTCCTATTTTGCTTTTTGACCATGATGAGGTGAACAGTTTTGCTTTCCCAAAGGCTTCCCACCATGACATTCTGCCTTGCTATAGGTCTGAGGCTCTGGGGAAGAAGCCATTCACAGCTCTTTGCCACCATGCCCAGCACAAATCTGGATTCTTCAGGATAGAAACTTGAAAGCATTGTAGTAACTGGTCATTATTAATACAAAGGTGTTTTTCTTTTGTTTAATGTTTGAGTCATAAATTGTCTCTTCTTAATACCTTTCATTTTAGAAAACCCTCTTTTTCCTGGCTCACTTTATGTAACTCTTTGGAATGGTTCAGTGGCCATTTCCACAGATGCGGGAAGTTAAAAACTGAGTGCCACTGAGGGGGCATTGCCCTCCACCTTCGTCCCCTACTCCAGCCCTCGGAAAGGCCAAACTCAGAAAACAAGGTGAGAGGAGGTGGTGGCAGCGCTGGGGACGAGGGTGAGGCTGCCTCATAGAACGTGGATACAGCAGTTGACATTCTCAGAAGATTCTTAACCATAAGCTTTCCCAAAGTTCTCTTCTGTTAGTCAACAGATTATAAGCATGTGAACTCCCTCCAGGCTCCAGATACTTGTAACAGAAGTTAAAGGTATGCCAACCTTTCTTTCCCAATGCTGGGGGAGGGACACCCTTGTTGACATCCGGAGACTGGGTCATTCATTCATAGCCCTCAGGGAAAGCTAGGCTTACCTGGCTTCAAAAGGAGACATAAATCCAGCTGTGATGGCTCATGTCTTTAATCCTTGAGAAGCAGAAGCAGGCAGATCCTTGTGATATCAAGGCTCACCTGGTCTACATAGTGAGATCCAGGCCAGATGGGGCTACAGGGAGACCCTGTCTCAAAGCAAAACAAAACAAAAAAAGGACGCATCAAGATCTTACTGCCCATTAGGTGGTAAACTGGACTTTTCACCTGGAGCCACCTCAGCCAGTTCAAAATTGCACATGTTCACCGTGACACAGAGCTACAAACTCACCAGTCTGAAGCATCAGGTTGGATATTCAGGATGGCCAAAGTGCTGTCCTGAGTATGTGCTTGTCTAGGGCACCATGACCTTTCCTCTGTCTCCTCTCTCTCTGTCTCTCTGTCTCTGTCTCTCTGTCTCTCTTTGTCTCTCTCTCTCTCTCTCTGTGTTTGTATGGGGATTATACCAATGGGTATGGGGGTACACATACTTGGCATCTGTGTGGAAGTAAGAGGATGACCTCATGTCAGTCCTCACATGTTTTCTATCTTTTGTTTGAGACAGGGCCTCAAACTTGGTACTTTGCCAGATAGACCAGGCTAGCTGGGATCCTCCTGTCTCTGCTTCACAGCACTGAGGTTACAGGCATGTGCCACCGTGCATGGCTTTTTATGTGCATACTGGGGATTAGAACTCAGGTCTTCATGCTTGTGAGGTCAGTGCTTTACCAACTGATCTATCTCCCCAGTCCCTCCCTCTTCCCCTAGTTTTAAGTATGGCAGACAATCATTGACCTAAGTTCAGTGAATAAATATGCTAGCCACTTCCATACAGTCTCCTGAGAAGTTTGGGAGCAGAGGGTTTCTTCCTCTTTGCCCTTCAGAGATGGAGGTTCTCATTGTCATCACACGCTGGTTTGTCTTCGATGAGTAGAGACTTGTGGTAGGTTGGTCAGTAAGGAAGGGCTGGTTGGCATTGTCTCACCTTCCTGCAGGGACTGCCTGTCTTCACCATCCTTCAGCACTGGAATTATGGATGTTGGCCTCAGCTCACATGAGGATCCACTCAGCAAACCATGTTGGTGTGGTAAGCACTTTACTGACTGAGCCATCTCCCTAGCTCCACGTTAGGACTTTCGAGTGGGTGCCTGTTAGGGAACTCCTAAGAAAATAGGAAGCAACTGTGTTCTGGGTTTTGCATGCAGCCACCTTTATATGAAGGCACTGGAAGTGGTAGCTGGGTGTAGCTGGTTCTGGAGGCTGATAAGACACTTAGTGGATGTTTGGACCTTGCTGGGCTTACACAGTAAAAAGGCAGCTTTTATTTGGTTGCTGGTGTTTAAATGGCTCTGTAAGAAATGAGTCCTTCCCTCCATTCCACTGAAGCCCCCTGTTCTCTCAACCCACCTCTCAGGTCCAGCCTTTTCCATGGGTAGGGTGCTGGAGACACCCCGAGGGTGGGGTTAAATGTGTGTCATATATTACTTGGAAGAGAAAAGGCTGGATGCTTAATATATTTCGTTTTAAAGTCCCCCAGTCCAAAGAGCAGTGTTGAAGTTATGTTTGTAAATGTACTGTGTTGTTCCGTTTTTGTGTGTTGTTTAAAGGGACTGCCGTGAACTCTCGAGCTGCCCAGAGAGGATCTCCAGAATGAGATTTAAGATGAAGCATAGGAAAAGTGAATTTTTAAAACAAGGAAAAATGCTTTGGAATAAAGTCACTGATCTGTTAAACTGTTGGGAATGGTAAATAAAAACAATAGTATTATTAAAATCTGGAAGAATTGTTTCCCTTACTTTGAAATTAGTTTGTAAAAAAGTGTTTTGTTTACTATACTAAAATTTATCTTCAGCTTTTGAAATATGAGATTTTAGCCACCTAATAAGTAGTGCCAGAATATATTTTAACATTTAAATTGCTTTTTTTTAATTAATTTCTTTCTTTCTCTCTCTCTCTCTCTCTCTCTCTCTCTCTCTCTCTCTGTATACGGCTTAAACACAGAGGCTCATACATGCTAGTCAGGAGCTCTCCCCCTGAGCTATAGCCTCAGCCACTGAACCTTGTTTTAAAATGAGTGATAACTTTTAAGAGGGGTTGTATTACTTTTGGGAAATGACAATGTTTCTAGTAAAACATGTTATGTAGAAATGACTTATAAAGCCTACAGAATATGGACTAATGAATTCTAATTAACCTTAAAAATAACCCTTGTGTCTGGGTTGGGGCACCTCAATTTGGTATTCAACCCAAAAAGATAATGAACGAATGTGGGTGTGTTTGAGAATTAGCCTATCAAAGCACTGAAAGACAGTGCACCCATCTTTACTGCACACAGTAAAGGCTGACCACCTACGGGACACTTGACCTTGGGTGAATGAGATATTCTAAAACTAGGGATGAAAAAGCAGGCTGGTCTATTAGGCGTGGCTCCAAACTTATACTTCCTCAGTGAAGCTGGAGAAACCAGTTTGAATAAAAATGTGAGTGAGGCCCGACCTGGGAGCAAGGTTCCAGGAGACAGACAGTTCTAAGAGATAGCTGAAGGAACAGGTGTCCCCCAAGTTCAGACCCACTCTTCAAAGCTAAATTTAAGAGTCAAGCTTTTTTGTTCAGGTAATTGTAATATTGGCATAATAATAGCTCATGTTACTGACTTTAAAATGTCAGATAATGTATAAGGAGAATTCCCTTATAGTTTAAGCAGAATTCTAGTATAGAACACAACCAACTGGGACTTGAGAAAAATTAAATTAGATTCAAGTACAGTTTTAAGATGTACTACAGAGAGTTCTGGTGTTGCAATTTCCTCCATTTCTACCAATGGAAACATCTTGCAAAGTTGTAACAGAATTACCAGCAGAATATTGATATGGGTGTAGCCAACATGGATAACAGGTCCATTAAACAGGGATCCCTTGAGTTGTCTTTTAAAGCCATGCCCATCCCTGGTCCCTCGAAGCCACTAATCTTAGCTCTACTTCTATAATTTATCATTTAAAGAATAAAATACAAATAGAATTAATTAGTGTCTAACCATTTAGGATAGTCATTCTTTCCCTCAGTGTACTTGGCCCAAGATTCGTCCAACTTACTGCGTCTATCACCAGTCATTTTGTTTTTAGTTACTGAGTACTATTCTAGACTATGGCTGTATCTGCTGACATCCAGGCTGTTTACATGTTTTGCCTATTGTGAAAAAAGGATTTTAAAAGACAGAATTACAGAAATTGTCTTATTATAGAGTATTAATAGGAAGAAAGAGTAAGATTAAAAAGTTTAGAGTCATTGGAGATTAAAACAAATTGTGAATTATGGCGCTGTAGCTCAAAGTAGTTTGATTGTCCAAATGGAGGAGGTATTTATGATATTTAATCAAACTTAAATACATGATTGGTCAGTGTCTGCAATACAATTTAAAAATAGGTCTTTGGGGCCTATGTTTTCATTTCTGCTCTCAATCTAAATGATTGCTTAACATACACTATTAATGCACACTTATCTTGGGCGCTGCTGACGCATCTTGTGTTTGTTGAAGCTGGCAATGAGATTGCACTTGATCATGTGACAGTAATTCAGCTGCCAAACTCAATTGTGGGATATTTTAAAAACACTAAATACCCTCTGCACTTGGCATCTCTGATGAAGGACTTAATTAAATAAACATTCACTTATGAACTGAAGTACCAGTGTGGGTACTGGCAGTGAAGCTTGTAGCTAATTGATGGATGGTAGGAAATCAGTTAAGAGACGCTCAGAAACATGTGGTTATGTTGAAAGGAAGAAGAAAAGGCCTCTCCGCTGTCCCCCAGATCCCACAAAGTGTGAGCATGTCTGCTCAGGCCTCACAACAGCCCTGACAGGGATGGTGAAGGAAAATGTCCAACTACCCTACAGATTGAAGAAGCAAGTTACCTGTGGATGCGTTTGCTGTGACTCACAGAACTTCTCAGGGCAAACACACTTTAGCATGGCCAGTAAAATATCACTTGCTTAGTTTATTTTTATTAGGACAGTCTTTTTAAAAATTCTGCTTTAATCTCATAATAATCTTTAAGAAGTATTGTTAGCTGCCCTTTGGGCTTTTATGGAGAGTTGGAGACATTGCAGTGCAGAAATCAGGTTAGTCTGAAACATGCCGTGGAGATGGGCACTTGAATGGAGTCTCATTTGTCCTTCAAGTGGGATGCTATGGAGGGGACTGCCCGGAAAAAAAGAAAGCTGAGCTCTGTGTGAAAGAAAGACAGAGTGAGTGTAGCAATTTTGCCAGGCACACCTTGAGAGAGGAAAAAAAAATTCTCTTGCATGCTTTTGGTACCTAGTCTGGCCCACAGCAAGGGTTCAATAAGTCTTTGTTTCATGAATGAGAACATGGCTAACAAGAAGACAAGCTAAAATAACTTTTCAGGTTATGACGAAAGATGCCTGTATCGGACAAGTGCGTTCCTTGTGCTGAGTCTCTCTGGTCACAGAACAAACTCTGTCAGAACTTGGTAGTTGATATCCTTAGCCTTGTTCCCTGGATTCCCCTGAGCAGTTCTTTTGGGAACCCGACATCCCTCCTGCAGTCAGATAGCAGCTGTGGCTGGGCTTTCTAGAAGTTCCACTTCATGGTTGGATGTTGGACCCTCTCCCTCTGAGGACTGGCCTCTTTCTCGAGGACTCTCTGACTGAGTAGTTGGATTATTAACATGGTGTGGCTTAGGACTTTCCAAAAGCACAATGGTGGAAGTTTCTAGACCTTCCAAAATCTAAGGCCTAGAACTACTGTCGTGTTCATTAGTATTAGTTAAGCAGTTGTGGGAGCAGACCAGGTTCATAGGGAGGGCACTTGACTCCACATCTGGGTGGCAGGGGATGAGGGGGCTCCACTGTTGTTTCCACAATAGCTGTCTAACACCAGCTGGGTGTCCTGTGACTTAATATAGTGCTCAATCTATTAGCTGGAGTCAGTGCAGACCCAGGGGTTAAGGGCTCCGTCCCACAAACTTTGTTTTAGTAGCTGTGGTCACCCAACTTTCTGTCTGGCTGAGCACAAATTTGAAGGTCCTCCTGGTACTACTCCAGGTTTGATGGTTCTTTGGCTATGCTTAAGTACAGCTTATTATAAAGGATACAAAACCAGACAGATGCAAAGGCACACAGCATGATGACCTAGAAAGTTCTTGAGTGCTGCTGGGCTCCTGCCTCCTCTGCAGGGACCACCCTCCCAGTACATTAATGTGCTCACTACCATGGAAGGTGCTCGAACCCCCTGTTCAACAGTATCCTTCCAGGCTTCGTTGCCTAGACGTGATGGATTGTGTATTGCTGGCTCTTGATACTTAACTCAGGCTCCAGGCTTTTCTCTCACCAGAGGTTAGAAAGGAGGCTGAGAGTTCCAACCCTCTAAATGCTGTGGTCAACATTTCCCTTGAAACTGTCTTCAGATACCTTGCTAGCATAAACCCAAATATAGCCCCAAAGTTATTCATTAATAATGATCTATAACATTCCTGTCACTCAGGAATTTCCGGTGGGTTCAAAGCTGTGTGCTTGGAACAGGAAGCAGAGACAAAACCAAAATAGACTTGTTATGACACCATAAGGCAGGTGACAGGGAATGTGCAGCCAGCTTCCACCCACCACTCTGACCCTTGGCAGACAAGTCAGCCCATTACCTTACATGCAGTGGATGGCATTTTGGGAGCATTTGCCTCTTATTTACTTGGAAAATGACTCTGTGTATTGCTATTGCCCACAGAGCAGGTTCTTGCAAAGCTGGTGCTATGCCCTGTGTACCAATGCCACCAGGGATGAATAAGGGAAAACTGATGTAGCCACGTGTGTGAAGGGCAGAACAGGGCGAAAGCAGCCTGCACCAGCCTTGGTGTTGGGCTTATTCCCACTTGCCTCTTGGTTAGCAGGCCCTAACCATGGCACTCGGCTCTGCCTTGGGGAGAGAAGGGTTTAAACTTTCTTTTTTCCTTACACTCGAGGTCTCCATTCCTACCTGCCCCATCTTTGCACGCTGTTCACTCACTAACCCTTGACTTGGACCTTGTGGGTTTCAACTGTTTTATTCTACTCACACACTGTTCTTTCAGACCGGATTCCTTGTCCCTGACCCTCCAACTCAGCCGTCTTTTGCTGGCTTCCCAAATGCTTTTCCATCCAGTTCTTGCTTAAAAAGCTATTTTAGTGCCTGACTATGGATTTTTGGCACCATTTTCTTACCAGCCCTAACTTGGAGGTTCTTCTGGGGACTCTTGCTAGAGTGTTTTGTTTTTAGGATTTTCTAGTCCATACTCCCAAAATAATGAAAATGATCATTTTGTCTTTGGGAAAACCTTATTGTCTCCATTCAAATATTTAAAAATCCTTAATGTGCCTAGGCCTGAAGTTTTATTTGTAAGGGACATATTCTGACAAGCCGTCAGTGACAGCCTACGATATAAAATTCCCTATGCCCCTTTGGTTTAACAGTCATCTTCATAAAAGAATTTCATCTGCTCTCTGGTTCAAGGTAACCATGTATCTGAAATCTTCAAGTGCAGAGAAACTTTTGTATCCCTCCCACACCCCAGTGCTAGCTTGGAGTTTGGCCTCAGGCAACAACCAACTAACTGTGCCTTGAAGATAATCCTCTGGGGAGTTAATTAGGACAGACTGAATAATTTATGGTGCAGTTTTGGTGAACTAAACAGAGAAAAGATTTTTCAAGTGTCAAGCATTGAAGCAGTCCTTCCCTACCATCCTGGC